TCTTCAAGAGAGCTGCTACAGTGTAGTTTATCCTATCCGCGTCGAAATGACCCTGTTCAGCCATCTTCCGTCCGCGATTGTAGATATCTGTCAGCTAAGATAAAACATCAGTCAATCCTTTGACTTTAGTTGACTGACAAGTAAAAGACACTTACCTTGTTTTCATAAATTCCCATTTCCTGCTCAAGTACGGAATGCTTCTGGATTAAATCTTTCACAGCTCTAAGATCAGATCCAAGCTCATCAGATTTCAAAACTGTTTCAAGTTCATCTAGTTTCGCATGTGCATCTTCAAGAATGCGGTTGAGACCCTGCAAAAAAACATAGGAGATTCAACCAAACATATAACTGGACAATTTGAATTTACAAAGAAAAGGATGGATCTTCCCTACCTTCTGATCAGAAGCTTGACGCAGTTTCTCGCCTTTACGGTTGACTGCATCACGAAGTTCTGCCCATTCGGTATTGAGTCGTTTCAGAAGACGTTCAACATTAGGTGACTCATAATGCTTTTGGGCAATAAGTGCAGTTCCAAGCTGTAAGACAATATCGTAACCCAAAACGAAATAATGTGTGAACTAAAGAAGTTATCAAATCCTTTTTTTACCCTGTTGATCTGCACAACCCGAGGAGCATTTGCTCCAACTTCTGCTTCGAATGCTTCATGCTTTAGCAATTTGTTAGCAATAGAAGTCAGGTCTCTATGCGAGTCATCGTTGGCCAACTGAAGATTGATGAACATTCAAAAATGAGGAACTCAATAAGAAAGTTGGTCATACCTTCTTCTTCTCATGGATCCACGAAATCATCTCTTCGGCGTCACGTTTCATCGTCTGGTATTCTAAGGAGGCTTCAAGACGGGCACGACGCTGAGCAGCTAGCCTACGCACGGCACCACGACGAGCAATTACATCATTACGGCGCTAAAAGACATTTATGAAAATGTAAGTAGTTTTCTGAAACTGACACCACTTACTGTATCTATGTATGGGCTCTCAGAATGTTTGTTCTTGATAAGTTCATCTGCATTTTTAG